AAACACCTTTTAAACATGTTCCATTTCCAAATAATCACACAACACAACTCTTTGGATGTGTACAATTAATATAAGTGGTGACTCAAAGCTGCAAGTGGCAACATGTCCATCTGCATAATGGATCTCATCATAATAGAACTTACCACCTCCTAGTTCTGCGAATGGGCTAAAACATCAGTCAAAACTGGAGTATTTGACAAATTGTAGAATGACTCGCCTAAAACACTGGAAATCAAAAACATTCTGCAAAAATATTTCTAAGCAAAAAAACATTTCTAAGCATTTCTTGAGGAAAAAGCACATGTTTCTTTCTTCAGCCTTAATGTGCATTCAAGGAAGTGCTCACATGTTGCACAAATGAAGACATAGAGCCAAACTCTCATCCACCTCTCACAGGCAATATAGATCCCTTACACATCTGTCTGGACTCTTTGTTTGTTGCTCCACAAAAACATCTATTTTCACTTAAACTCTCTTGAGATCCTTATCTACCTGGGAAATGTCTAAATTCTACGTAAGTATCAAACTCTCGCTGCCAAAAAAACCTGTAACAAGTGACTTGCTGATGATTATCCTACCCATCTTTATCCTAGTGGTTAAGGCACTTGCTTAGAGAGTGAGATCAAGGTGCTGGGCCCTTTGCAGGCTACAGGAATCTGAGGTCACTGTCCATGCCCTAACCACCAGGCCATGGGTTACATAGGGACAAGAGCACGCTCCACCTTTCTGACTTAATCTGGTCCAATGAACACCCAAGGTGGAACGGGTTATGATGCCAGAGTGCGAACATCCGAGTAGGAGTATGACAATGTGGTACAGTGAGAAGAGCACTAGTCCAGGACTGAGGGAGACCTAGGCTCTGGCCTGTGTTTTCAATGCTCTTTTTGTACCTTAGCCAAAACAAAATGTAGGAAAAGCATTGGGAGCAGAGGTCAAGAGTCCTTCCCTCCTCACTGGGCCAGTCTCACACATCTTTCTCTACCAATGTTTCCATTGCAATGCAGTGGCTTTATTGTCACTACTGCAACAAAGGCAGCATTTAAATGGCTCCAGTGGCAACATTTTAAATCTCCAAAGTGATTTACAAACAACAATCAATCACATTCATTAATAGCATTCTCAGAGTACTTTACTATTTATCTGCAGCTGCAGAATTTCACTAATTCAAAGCAATTATTGGAAACACAGAGAGAAAAATAAGTTTGCCTATTCTCAAGTAGTGGACAAACATAATAAAAGGCCAGGATAATAAATCACAGAAATGCACTTAATTAATTTACTTTGACAGCTGCAGTTTAGACTTAATCATTTATGAAATACTCTATAATGGACTTGCAATGTGCTAATGAAGTCAGTAATATAAGATATTACCATCACACTTAGTCATTAAATTTTAATGCAGAAGGGATCTTCTGTGGATTTCTACATATGAGAAGAAGGAATCAATCTGAACCCTTTTCTGATTGTAGCATGCATCTTTCTGTTCAGATCTGGATAGGTGAGAAATTTGTAGTGCTGCTCTGGAAATTACAGGAGCTAGGGAAGTGAAGGCATGACATTAATTTTTTTTCTCATCAAGTTTACCCATCTTTTGGCACCTAGAGACCTCAGATACAGAACACTCTAGAGTAGAAAATAAGATTAAATGAAGCAGATACCTAGGTTAAGTTGTGTGGCTTTAGGTCTGACTGTATAGTTTAATACTATGCTTTGTGGCTTTGCTTCCAATAATGCGCATTTAGACAAGACATGATCTTTTTGAGGGGGTGTATGAATGCATGCAGGCGCATCTATTGGCACCCACTAAAGTATCAGAATAGTCCATGTTCAATTTATGGATTTCAGTTCAATGAGCAGGGGCTGTTTTGGTAAGCAGCATCCTCTACATATTTCAGCATCTGAAGGTTCATTCCAGCACATAGCCATGGTGTTCCTGAGTTTTTGAAATGAACAGCACCCCATGCAGAAAGTCATGGGGACTCTACCAGATGCAGTGCTTTATTTAGGCAAAAGCAGTCTTGTAATCTGCCATTTCCCACCTGATTTGAAAGCTCTGGCTGGAGCCCTTGCATTATTTGTTTGACAATGATTTGATGCAACACCACATTGTGGTATAAATTAGTGTCAAGGAGCAAAATGTTAATCATAGGGGCCCCTCCACGCACTGGTGACTTAAATAGCATGTTTCTTTGAAAATTCAATAATGAGTCACTCCCTTTTAAATTACAATCCCTCTGTGCTATTTAAATGTGTCCTGTAGCTCTGGTGCATATTTTCTTGGATTCTGACTATACTTCATTGTTAATTTGAATGACTATCCAGAAAAGCCATTGAACACAGTTGCTATTTATTCTCTGAAGCATGGTACTGTATTCATGGTTTAATATTACAAATCTTTGAACCCAATATAATAGTCAAGTTATGAGTCATAAAATGGTCATGAGTCCACTTACTTGTGCAGCACAGTGGGGAAAAAATAAGGTTGACAACAGTTTTCTGTTTTCATTCAGAGATGACTTCAGACTTATTTGAGCTCATGAGTGGCATAAATTCCTCCATTTCACCCATAAATTTAATATTACAATATTTCATGAAACAAAACAAAAAAAGAATAAAATGTCTAGGGCTGTTGGATTGGTTCTTGGAATTACTGGGTCAAATCTGATGGAATCAATACATCTCTGTTGGGATATAATTTGTTGGAACTATTCTAGTTTAGGTTAGCTGACACCCAATATATTTAGCGATAGGATCATAGGATCATAGGGTTTTCCTTACACGGCCATCTAGTCCACCTTCCTGCTCATGACTAGATCATTTCTGACTAAACTATTCCAGCCAAGTGTCTGTCTTATCTGCTTTTGAAAACTTACAAGGATGGAGCTCTGTGCAGTGGCAGTATCGTAGCCTGTGAAGTTGAACTGAGCCATGATCTTTCTAAACATCTACGTGCACTGCTCACAAATGTAAACAAATGCATCAGAGATAAAGGACATATTTTCTCTTGGAATTTAATTAAATGAACCTGCTGTTTATTTCTGCTCTACAATATATCAGCTTTTTGTGATATAGGCCAAATCAGATATGGAAATATACTAACTCTGCACTATATTCTTCATTCAGGCTCATATATATATTGCACTTTGGGTCCAGAGCCAAACACATGGCCAACATTGTACTAGAAAGTCAATAAACAAATGAATAAAAATAAGATATTATTGATGTACTGTTATAATTATGATGATAATATAAGATCACTATCTAAACTAAACAGCTTTCACAGGCCACTCTGCTACCTGAATCCATCCAAAGACAAGATCTTCTACCAAACTACCCACCTTTCACTCTCTCCTGCCAAGAAATAGATGGGAGAGCACAAACACCTTGCAGCGTGACATGAAGCCAAATTGTTTTGGACTTTAGTTATCCAAAACAGAAAGAATATTTCACAGAGCAGGATCTTATGTGAAGAACATCCAGCCCCAGCCACTTCATGAATGAATTTAGGGGCTTCTAGCCCAGGCATCTCCAATGATCTCAACCAATGATGAAAGAGATGGTACTTGAGGCAGCCGTCGCTGAGCATATTCAAGTTTCACAGCTTAAAATCAACATCTCTAATGGCACCAGAAATGAACTGGAATCCAGCACTGGTTGAAGAGTACTTGTTTAACACATTGCCTGTGAAAAATACCCCTTCACAAATAAACATTTGGAGTGATCTTAAGGAATAACCTCCCACAGAGTATACTGCAGTAACTGAGGTGACAAAAGCATGGATTCCTTTGGCAAAGCCTATACTCCCTTGCATCAGGCATAAGAAAAAAACAAAAAACATCTTCCCCCCCAACCCCCCATGACCATAAGTGTTATCTCTACATCAAGAAGCTAATGGAGAGGTATCTGAAAGCATCTGTTTATCAGTCCTAAAGTACATGAAATTATTTCAGTGTGGAATTAAATGTAGTCCTCACTAGTTTCAGTGTGATGCATATGCAACTAAAGAATGTTTTTTTCCCCTACAACTTTGTGTAGGTAGGATTCCTTCATATACGAGTATTTAGCCATCTGAAATCAGTCCCTTTTCAATTAGGTGGAGTCAAAATAACTAAGTGAGCCTTCAGTCTGGCTATACCCTTTCATATGCTGTTTCCAAGGCTGGGCCATATTCTTCTCGTAAAGGTCTCTTCCTGCTTCTGGTACTTGTATTCTTCTACTCTGGCCATGCACATTGTGACTCATTTTCTGGATGACCATTACTTGTAAACATTGCATTGAGAACAGTATCTGGTCAATGGTAGAAGGACAGATGGGAGCAAGAGTGGAACCTATTGACAGTAGGAATTGATATAGAATCAGGAGGATGGAAAAATGGTATCAGAGAAAGAAGAGAAGAGAGACAAGGGTAAAGCGTAAAGGCAGGAAGGGTGAATAAGAAAAAGGAAAAGAAGGGAATGGAAGAGAAGAGTTATAATAGCAGAGTCGCATGAAATAAACTCTTGGAGGTTTGAAAGTTTTCACTAACGACACTATTTGTATTGACTGCTTCACTTTGATTATAGTTTTAGTAGGGGTCTATTGTCATACTGCTGTGACTAGATATAAATGCAGTGCCAGTGGCTATGAAATCCACAAAAGAGAAAGAGATTTCAAAAGCACATGTTCAGAAAAAGACAATTATTTATATTTCTTGGATTTTAAAGATCGTTCCCCTCCCTATGCCATATATGCAACTGTCACAGCTAGTGTTTCAAGCCTACTAATTATACAATGATTCTCATTGCTTTAAATATTTTTCACACACAGACAGTCTTTTGGCTGAATAGGACCTCACCTAAAATTGTTGCAGCTGTGGGAGCATCAATTTACTCATAAGGGAAAAACATCCCAGTACAGAGGTGAAGTAAATTAAACTGGCTTCGACTGTCCTTTCCACTTATATTATTTCATGCTCAGAAGTATATAATTGCTCCAAATATTCATATATTAGCAAACTTTACCTAAGTGTTTCACCAGATGATCCCCTTCTTTTCCACAGGTTCACCAGGCTACTGGAGCGGCTTGCAGCAGAAGATGACTTTCCATCACCAACGTGCATGCGAACCACGGTGGATGTGGTGAATGCGCTGCGTACGTTTCTTTCAGGCTTAGCAAGGATGATGTACACCTTGGGCACAAACATGCAGCCCAAGGCCACGGTGGCGCTCAAGCTGACTGAGAAACACATGGTGATTATCTTGTAGTTGCTCCCAAAATATATTGGTACAAAAGCCAGCCAAATGATGCAGGTGGTATACATTGTAAAGGCAATATATTTTGCTTCATTGAAATTAGCTGGAACATTTCTTGTCTTAAATGCATAAAAGGTGCAACTTAAAATTAACAATCCATTGTATCCAAGAGGAGTTACAACACCTAGGTTGGTGGTGTTACAAATCAAATAAACCTCTCGGATGCTTGGGTAATCGTGCATTATATCTGGAGGTTCCATTATGAAAAGGGCAACAATTATGCCTAACTGTATACAAATTAAGATAAATGCAATCACCAGCTGGGCACAGGCACTCATGAACCTAGGTTTCTTAGTACAGATTTTCTTCTTGCTGCCAGCCAGGATTCTTGCAATGCGATTGGTTTTAGTCACTAGGGCGGAATAACTCATAGCCGGGGAGAGACCAATGCCAATCCTTTGAAGGTAACAATAAATCTGCTGAGGCTTTGCAATGAGACAGAAGGTGCACAAGTAACCCAGGCATATGCCAGCTAGAATAATGTAGCAGAGTTCTCGGCTGGATGACTTGACCACTGGTGTATCACGGTACATGATGAATATAGCTGTAACAAACAGTGTGGCCAGCAGACCCAGACAGGCAAAAACAACTGCTGCAATTGGTTCAGGATCACCCCATCTGAGATACTGGACTGGGATGAGGATACAACCTGTTTAGAGAGAAAATTTAGCAAATTTAATATATTGAGTGAAATCATTTGACTTGTAAAGTTAAAATTTCTTTTCTATTTTAACCTTATTTTCTCTTTCTGGGCATTCTTGGAGACCTGTGTAGTACAGTGGAGCAATGCTAAGAGGATACTATACAGTGGCACAGAGGACATTTTCCAGTGATATTTTAGTTAACACAGATAATCTGATCTGAACTCAAATGATGTCTGCACAAAATGGCTACTCCAAATAGACATGTAGGCTAGGATTTTTGAAATCACATAGTATTAGCCTAAGTAACTTGACTACTCAGCTTGTGCAAATCTCACCTACAGTCCCATTATGCATTTCATTTTTAAAATGTTTGATTATAATAATTTATGAGCAAGTTGCACAGTCAAATTACAAAGAGAGTTGCTTTATTGTCCGCCATAGTTCAGAACTTCTGTTCTGCTTGTTATGTTACATTTTACAAAGAATAACATTACTTCTGTTTCTGGAAATAGACAAGGAATTTCTCTTTCCATGTTGGGAGCACAAAACAGAAATCATCTGCCTATGTAAGGTCAGAGGGGCTGCATGATGGACTGAGGGGATGTTCATCTAAGCCTAGAGAATGCTTAAGGGTGGGGAGGAAACTGAGGTAGAGAAATACTTTGTTACTGTTTTGTCTGCACTACTTGTGCTAGTTAAAGCAATTGTTTTTGGGGTCCCTTTGGGACCAGTACATACATGTAATGTCTTCATACCAAATGAATCAATGAGGATATGTCAGCATATATATATATATAAGCCATAAATCTGGCCAACTCTGAGGTTCTTCTAAATCAGGGGTATCAGACTCACTTGGGGCCCCAGACTGGATATGGAGCATGGGGCTCCTTGCAGGCTGGATACAACCTTGAGTATGAGGACTGCCAGCAGTGGCACAAGGTCCAGTGGAGGTGGGGATGGGGGTAGTGCAGGGTCCAGCAGAGGTGGTGTAAGGTCCTGCAGGGGTCAAAGTGCAGGGTCCAGTGGCAGGAGGTGTGATTGTGAGATCAGACATCAGATCCCATCATGTCATGTTGTTAGTGCATGATCAGGATCCTGGGCTCTCCCTGCACAGGCAAGAAGCAAGCTTCTGCCTCTGGCAGCCCTGATTAGTTGTTGGGACTCCCAGCTGCAGAGGCACACTATGTGCTCCTGTTGCTGGGAGATCTGTCAGCTGATCTGGCATTCAAGCCATGAGGGTCCATCATGGCTAGGGATAGACATTACACATAAACCGGTTTAAGTGATCAGAAACTGATTTAAACCTGTAATAAAGCATACACTTGGCCATGCATTCCATTAATGGCATGGTACAAACCAGGCACAAAGTTATTACACATATTCTGTGTAATAACTTTCAGGATAATTCCTTATTTTATCATGTCATCAATCACATTAACATGTGGCTGGTAACCATTTAAGATGCAATTAACTGGTTAGTCATGCCTTAAAAGTAATGTATGCCTTAATAGTCAGGGCCCTAAAACGCATGTATCTATCCTGCCTTCTACATGTTAAATTTTTAATCCAGATATAGCTTAACAAGAGAAAGAGAAGAAACAGGTATGACTGCCACTCCAAATGGTCCTATTGAAAGGACCTGCTGGAAGAACTGATATGGATATGTGACCCCAAGTCGAAGAGACAACATGTTTTTTAAATCTCTGACTTTTCTCAGTCTTGCAAAGCTAGTCCATATTTCAAAGCTCTAATTATCATCCACCTGAATGAAGTTACAGTACATTTTAGATATATTTTGCATATATCATCTCCTCATTGGGCTTCAATCTGCTGAATGCTTTACAACAAATTTAATAACACCATCATGTTTGAAATTACAAAACAATCCCTTGACAAGTATATGTTTTAAATATATATTTTATATTATAGAAAAAAAATATTTGCCATTGTTTTGCTCTATTTCACTGGACTAGTTGTAAAGAAGCATCAGATTTGACTCAATGAAATCTAGCTTCCCTAGCTCGACCAGGTTTAATGGACAATGTCTGTTTGGTCTGAGACATTCATAATCATCCAATAGTCAGCTATGCAGAGAGCTCGCCATTCATATCTTCAGCAACTGAATCTGATGCTCTGCACTGCTGAAAATCAGGTTAAAGGCATCTCATGTTCATAGAATAGGGTTGGAAGGAATCTCACAAAGTCATCTAGGCCACTCTCCTGCTCAAGGCAGAAACATGACGAAGGATGTTGGACATGCAAAAATCAAGACACCTGAAAAAACTACCACATCTACAAAAATGTGGACTTCATCAACTTCTTTATTGGGAGTAAATGCAGCAGTCTAACTGCAGAGGAAGATGTGCAACTGCTCCAGTATAAGATGTACAACTCCTCTTTTACTAGTAGGAGAGCACATCAGCTGATTCTGTAACTGTTACATCTGTCTGCTTTTAATCCGCAGGCAGTGAAACTAAACGATAGTAATTTACCCCGAATGAAACAGGGAGAAATTGTACTGCAGTTTATCTTCAATTACTGTTGGAAAGGATAGGACATAATAAACTTGATTTAGCTGGATCACAACGAAGTCCTTTCTCTACCCACACCCCCTTTTTTGTGTTTTGTTTTCCCCATGCCCTGGACTATAATTCAGATGTTCATATTTCCCAGGCCTGTCCTCTACCACACAAAAAAATACCTTTTTTTATCCTTTTCCATTATTTTCTGTGGATATTAATTGCCCCCCCCCCTCCAAGCTGCTGCTTGCCAATATCACTTATATTCTTAAAGGTGAAATTCCTTAAAAAGATAAGATGTAAAGCTTTTAATATGAGACCTTATTCCTCTCTGCTTCCATTGTTTATATATCCTGCACCTATACACAAAAAGGTATCATAAAATATATAATTACCCATAATATGTCAGTAAAATCAAGAGGGTACATGGCAAAGGTATCAGACACTGTATCCTCCCTGAAATATCACAAGGTTTAGATCATCTCATCTTTGACATTAGTACAGCTAACAAGACAGTGGGCAGCTGTTTTGGCATAACAAAATATGATGGTGCTTAGTAACTAAGTGCAGACTAATCTACTATTCATATTTTAACTGCCTTTACTTTTTATTGCAATAAGAAAGTTATTGCCATTTCATAGTGTATGAACCACTCTCATTAGCAGTAATAGAAGCTATCTTCATGACTTCTACTTGTTTTAATAAGAATATGCCTCCTAGTCTGTAGAGTAGGAGCATAGTTCTGATGTTTCTACTACTCAAGTTCACTGAGAACAACCACACATTGTGAAAAATACAAATGACATTATTTAGACTACTGATTCTGCAGCACTACAGATCTTACTCCTTTTAATCTTCTGCATGGTTGTACAATGATTTCAACTGTGAGAAAAGCTTACAGACATGTCATGTTGTCTAGACCTCTGTTGAAGACAGAAGTAATCATATTTATGCTTTGGGATACCCCAGGTACGTACATTAGGTCTGTGCAAAGGTTGGGGTGCTGATTTGATTCGGAGGAGATAAGGCCCAGTTTGGTGACTGAATCACCGAATCCAAATCAAATCAGGAGACCAATTAAAAGGTTCGAATTAATTCAAAGCTCTCTCAATCTTGGGGAAAGTTTTGGAGAGCTTTGACTGTTCGGGCAGTCGGTGGCTGCAGCAGGGAGCTGCAGCTGACTCCGAGCTGGTAAGTACTGGAGAGGGGGGAGGGGGCCATGGGGGACCCCTGCCAGCCTCCTG